CGCGCGCTCAATCCACTCAGCGTGCTTTGTTTATCAGCTCGCGCACACCAGCTATAAAGGCATTAATACTGAATGTTTAACGTTATATTCATTGCATACATATACTTCGTAGTAGACATCCTTAACTCCATTCTGCTGTCTGTTGTTCTGTTGTCGGTGTTTCTTTGTCTGAATATGGCGCTTATCACATGCTGTGTAGTATCGTCGTTTGGTATCGGGGCATTTTAACGAGTACGAGTACGAGTACAGGAGCTCAGTATCGGTATCGGTGCATCCCTATATCTCAGCCAATATAATATTGTCCTATCCTAACAAACCATACATCAATGGAAAGCTTATTTATTCAGCTTTCAGATGATGTTTAAATCTCAATTTTGAAAAATTGACCCTTACGACTGGTTTTGTGGTCCAGGGTCACATTTATTTATTGGTTGATAGTGGGGAAACTCCCAACCTCTATTTTCAAAAATGAATTAGAGGAAATAAACCCTAGCCTATCAAATTACTTTAAAGTGATAGTTCACCCAAAAATGAAAATTCTGTCATTAATTACTCCCCCTCATGTCGTTCCAAACCTGCAAGACCTTCGTTCATCTTCGAGAACACAAATTAAGATATTTTTATGAAATCCGAGAGCTTTCTGATCCTGCATAGACAGCAACGCAACTGACAGAACACCTTTTGTGCACAAAGAAAATAAAAATAACTTTATTTAACTATTTCTTCTCTTCCAGGTCAGTCTACGCTGCCATTCACAACAGTTCCACGACGCATGCGTGTGGTGCTGCTGACGCTGTACGGAAGAGAAGAAATCGAAATAAAATATATCTTAATTTGTGTTCTGGAGATGAATGAGGGTCTTACAGGTTTGGAATGACATAAGGATGAGTAATTAATGACAGAATTTTCATTTTTGGGTGAACTATCCCTTTAAATCAACCTTCAACTCTATCAAATCAACTCTAACAAAACACACACAAATACGTACGGAAAGCTTTTCGACAATTGCCGCTTTTCCCTGGAATTGCTGACCCTCCCACGTAAGGCATGACGCATCAATCTAGGACAAGAAAAAAATATCATTTAGTTAAACTAAAGGAGCCAAAATGTACACAGCAAAGCAGTACTATGGCCAGTCTTTTTATAAATACATATTAAATCATGTATATAAATACTCAACAAATATCCCTCAATATAAGTATTGTTTAACATATGTTTGACATACTGTTTAACATATGTTGCTGAAAATATAGGTTCATGTATGAGGACTTTAGGCTCTTTTTAAAGGTCCAGTATAGAACCACATTTCTGGCCTGAAAAGACTCCTCTCCTGAACACACGACAAAACTTGTGTGTTACTGGGCATCTAGCGTCACTCTGCAAGACATAAACCAAGTGACGCTTTGAACACTAACATGATTGCAAGGCAGAGACAGTAAAACATCTCTACTTGATGTCTCTCTCAGCTAGTACTAGTCAAGAGAGAACTATCCTGAAGAAAAGAGCTTAATACAATACTCACATATATCGATCCAAGTTGAGTCCTGTCTGTGTCAAACAGCTGATAGTAATGTTGCACAAAGCTGGATCCTATTTGTTCCCAAATTGGCTTGTCTCCCATTCTGATTCACCCTGCTACAGGCACTGGTGGAGACAGAATAAATGACTCAATGTATATGACAGACTAAGGGGGTTGACAACAACTGACAAGACAGAAAAAAAAAAACTGAAAATTTAACCTACATTTAAAAGTGAACTGGCTTTCATTTGAGCCAATAGTACCAGTGATCTTGGACATCATATTGATACCTAACAACCTGGGTGCATTAAGTTTATATACTATTGGTCACTATCATTCGTACTGTGTTTGCTACGCTGTTGGGTTTGTTAAGAGGTACTTTTGTTTATACTTTGCTAAGGGCATCGCACACTGATTAAAAGCAATATGTAAAGTAAACATTTTATTAGCAACTTGTTAATTGCATAATATGGCTCGCTGGTCATGTGATGCCAACATGGCGAAGCCCATAAGGAGGCAACCCGCTCCATGTAGTAAATAAACAACTTCTGATAGGAGAACTGATAGGCCTAGAAATTTGGCGCCATTTCATTTCTACGCGAGTTTACATAAATCCTTTGTGTGTAAAGTTTTTAATTGGCAAAATTACTGAGTGCACCTTTTTAGTTTTTCTGGCACTAAATAGACCTTATATAGCCACACCTCTTTTCAGTGCTGAGTTTGTTGTCTTCTGTCTTCCAGATTGTATTTCCACAGCATGAAGTTAAGATCTTACGAATTTATGAATGAACCTCATTTTAAATCTTCCCAGTCTACTAACATTTGTCATGACATCCGCTTCAAATATTACAATGCTTATGATAACTTTTGTTTAACTTAATGCTTATGATAACTTTAACACTGTTGAAGCGACCCCAATAACGTGATATTTAGCCCCTGGAATGCAAATTGTACCAGGGGAATCCCGCCATAAAACGTGTTCTGTTGAATGGTGATTTAACGCTACGTTGTCACCTAGTTGGTGAGACTCGATGCTAAAAATAAATAAACAATGCCCCCGTCTTTTACTCTCACAATGAGCTTATCATACTCTTTGCTACATTAGTAGGGCCCTATGATTTCCGCAATACAGAAAATGCTGACTGAATCACAGAATTCAGTCATAAAAATGGAATTTACTGTATAACATGGAATTTTACGGAATTTGTCATGTGTTTATGTATATATATTCTGTTTATACTGTATTCTATATACAGTACCAGTCAAAAGTTTTGACACACAAATGGGAAGTGTGTCCAAACTTTTGACTGGTACTATACAATAATATACACAAATAATATCAGCTGATAAATCGATATCAGACATTTTTTACTCCCTAATACTGGTATCGGCCCCCAAAAACACATATCGGTCAGGCTCTACTAATTACTCTTCAACAGTGATGCTATAGAGCTACCGCAAAAACAGAAGTTCAAAGACAAAATTCTAAAGAGGTCTGCGTGCTAGTTTCTCTAATGCAAAAGGTATATATCAGCTTTATTTTGGGGGGAAAAAATTAAACATAGATCCCAACAATAATCAATCAAACACCAAAATTAAAAAGTCAAACAGATCAGACCAAAAAGGATGAATTAAAGGCCCATTTTCACCAGATGATAACTAGCCTATAACAATAACTATAAAGTAATAATAATTGTTCTAATTCTATGAGAATAGACAACTATAATGATAAGGACACAGAGGAATTATATTATTGGAATCATGATTTTTTTTTTCCAGCTGATGAACAAACTAACATTGAAAGCCAATCAGAATCCACCATTCTTAATCCTGTTAAAGTCAAGTGGATTCTGATTGGCTGTCAATGTCTTTATAGTTCACCTGTTACAAACATTCATGTCCTTGATGTGGACGGACCTTTATAAACTCCTTTCTGTTCAGAAGCTCATGGAATTTAACACACTCCTGCTCCTCCCTTTTAAAAACCCACGGATTTGTCAGCAACTTTGAGTGGTTAATATATCGTGATTGGGCCATGATCCACTGGAGTCTTTCAAACTTAAACATTTCAATTTCTCTAATATCTAACAGTTTCCAGTTACATATAACAAGTAGAGTGTGAGCAGTTGATGACAACTCCCTATAATTACGCTTTCTTGCATACAGTAGTAACTGTATGAATGACACTAATTAACTACACTAACCAAGCTAGTTCGATTACTGTCGAACTAGAACATTAATGACTGGCATAAAAGCATTCGGCTGACAATTCTAAAGAGGATTTTAGAGACTCTTAGCACTAGTTGGTTGGTTAGCAAGTACTAACTTCCTTTACAAATCAGCCAGTGACGATATGACGGCGTCCAAATTGTGTTTAAAATAATTTCCGTCAAACTACAGCCACTATTTGATTAAGAATGCTACTAAGCATTAAAAGTAACCATGCTATGATTATTAGCTGGCTTTCAATGGCCTCGCTGTAGACTGATTCATTTTAGCTTTAGCCGTAGACGTGCTAACACTTGCCTGTCTACAACGAGCACGCCGGCTAAATCGTGATGCGAAAAAGTTGTTTTACGTTAAAGTGGACGTTGCCTTTTGAATATCGACTCGGAGTTTGAATAGTAAGGATCAATGGTCAACTTGGACCAAACGCACCCTCGTTCCGTTCTAAAAATACCCCAGAGCCATATGAGCTGAACGCAGGCGAGACCCTCGCGCGGCCCATACACGCTCCTGTCCTATAGGCGTGTCCTATTAGCTAGCGCTTCAGAAAATTCTTGGCAAAAAGCCCCAGTGCTACTTTGCATAAAGTAGTTATAAAGTAGTTGTGTGCAGCGTGAGTACAACGTTAACTGTTATAAATAATATCTGACCAACATCTTACCTCCGTGAGCCCTAAACCGAATCCCCGGTTCCAGTTATGGCGATTCCAGTGCGCCGAGAACAGAACTTGAGCGGCCTCCTCTTCAGTTTGAGCATGCGCAAAGCGCTTACACACTGCTTTGAATTTTGGTTCTTGACACTGACAGCCAGTCAACAGATTCTCAGTGTAAACATAGTTGTTGATGTATTGCTTTCCAAATCTAGAACTAGTGCTTCGAGCAGCAGGTGAATCCAAGAATAGTTTACTTTAAACACTCACAAGTATTGTCCCTTAGAAACCATATTTGTGCAGTTTCTCTTCTGTTTACAATCTGTGGTTGTAAACTCTCTTAAAATTACATGTGCAGAAATTTTCATTTTAGTTCAATTAGTCTCACAAATGCAGTGCTTCTTTGCATTTACAAGGTGGAAAATTGAGCTCTTGCTCATAATAAATTACATTAATTTGTTACAAATCAACAAAATAAAACTGACAAGCAAATACATATACATGTACCATTTATTGACAATAATTATTGAGTAATCTGTAGTGGACAATACAAATTAATATAGCTTTGTTGATGTAGATGTAAAAGGGTAAATATAACACGCATGACAGTTTCTTTTTAATAAAAAAAGCAAAAAATAATATGTTAAAGGAGCACGCAGAGACATGAGGCTATTTAAATAATTTTTTTATTATTTAATTATTGTGTTATTCTTGATATGTGATTTATCTAATTACATAACAATATGCAAACTATTAAAGTATTAAGATATTTCTATACCCTAGTGCTGTGCTTGGTTTATATATGTAGTGTGCTATAAAAAGATTGGAAATGTGCTTGATGTAACAACTGTCATCACTTAGGCCCTGCCCTTTTTACATTAGCCACAGAGAGACGCTGTAGCACAACCTCGGTGTTCAAAGCTTGAGCTCGTAATTCACCCTCCTTTGTCTGAAAAGCTACACCGAGATTCCAGTCCAGAGTTTCAGAATCCAGTGAGGGATCGATAGTCTTGAAGGCAGTCCTGAGGTGCTCTGCATCCACTTCCCTACATTGATGATATACAAAACAGGACAAAACTATGACAATACTATTATTGAAATCTAAAAAGGTTTAGTTAAATGTGGCTTTTACTTGGAAATTTTGTAAACAATGGACGGATGATGATCTCTCACCGTTTGCCTTCTAGTTGCATTCTCAGCTCGCTGATGTACTGGAGTCTCTCAGCAGTAGCTTGTTTTTTAACTAGACTCAGGAATTCTTTGTGTCTTCCATCTGTGTCCTGGAGTGAGAACAATGTGCACAAAACGTGATGTTCTAAAATATTTATATATGCAGTGCCATTTAAAAGTTAGGTTTTTTTTGTTTTGAAGAAATTAATACTTTTATTCAGCAAGGATGAATTAAATTGTTCAAAAGACACAGTAAAGACATTTATACATTTACAAAAGATTTATTTTTTAAATAAATTCTGGTCTTTAAACTTTACATTCAGCAAAAAATATAAAAATGTATCATGATTTCAAAAAAAAAATCATGTGATCACGTGACACTGAAGAATGAAGTAATGGCTGCTGAAAATTCATCTTTTCCATGAAAGGAACAAATTTTTTTTTTACATTTGTATAAATATTTATAGTTTTCAAATAGAAATAGTCATTTGAGATCATAATCATATTTCCAATATTATTGTTTTTAAATGTATATTCAAAAAAATAAATGCAGCTTTGGTGAACATAAGAGACTTTTCAAAAACATTTAAAATATCTCATCAAACCAAACTTTTAAATGGTAGTGTATGCATTCAACTTCAATTAGGTTATAGCCAAAAAATTCAAACTGACCTCTGTATAAAGTGTCTGATAAGCAATGCGCACTCCATTACTCTTCAGCTCTGTCTGAGCCACCGCCAACAGCTCCTCTATGTCTTGATCTTTCAGAGGGAAGGCCTTCTTCAATGCATCACTGAAAATTAGCACACATAATGTAATAATAAAAATAATCACAATACATTTTCAACTGAGGAATTCAGAGTTTTTGCTCACCTAAATTCTAAGACAGTTAGTGATCCGCATTGTGTTGTGTCACTTTGAATTAAAACCTTGAGCAAGTGAGACAGCAGCTGAGTCTGTCCATGGTAGATACTCTCATCAACCTGCCACAAAATTACAGTCAGCAACATTTAATATACATATATATTATATATCCCAATAAACATTTGATATTTTGGGGGGCAGCTGAAAAACCTGCTTTCATTGGACTTAATTGTTCACCAGTGCTATGGACATTTACACATGATTATTTTAGATTAAGCGCAAACCTTCCCAATCAAGATGTCATTAAAAAGGCAAATGAGATAATCTTCAAGATTGTTCTGAATGCTTTCCATCAAGCTGTAAGCCCACTCTCCTGCCTTATCCTTATAATGTTCCACAAGATAGCTGTGAAGAAACATCTGCAGATCTCTGGAGTCATCATTCTCCATTGAAGAAAAATGTGTGGAGAAATACAGCATTAAATACTCATAACTAGTGACTGTTTAAACAAATCAAGACAGGATATTGGTATGTCATACATACCTTTTCATTCTCTGAAGTTTTTTCCCTCCAGATGTCTTTAATAACTCTGACTACATCTGCTTTCTTGAGTTTAAGATTCTTAAGTTTCCCCTCATACTGTAGATAAATGGGGACGTCACTGGATGTGCCCTGTGAAAACAACTTTACTTCAGCCTAGCAAAGCTGGTGTAGCTCATTTATAGCCTATGTTTAGCATCTTGTTTTTAATTTATTATTATATGTAGGCTAAATAGATAAAAATCATAAACTTATTTCGTCAAAGAGATTCTTTTCTGCAATAATCCAAAAGCCAATGGAAAAATCCTATTGGGTTTTTATTGAGAGAACTAGGGTAATACTAACTTTCATGCTGGCCTAAAAATATGCATCACTGCAGTGCTCTATTGCTATTTTTGATGTTAAGAACACTTACAAGACCAGTGAAGAACTCATTTTGGCCATTCATCTGCTGCAGCAAGATCTCCAGCCTCTTTTGGCTGGATTGACCTTCAAAGAGCTCTTTACATCGCTCACTGCCTCCTAGTATGTCTACAACACACATTACACAAGATTATCTCAAACATAAGCTTAACTGCACTATATAAAGAACAGATATGACAGCCTGGACAGTTCAGATACTGTTACCTGAACATTGTTCCCAGTTTGGTCTGGGAGTTGTAACAATGTGTTTGTTATCAGAGCCATGTTGCAGCACAGACTGATTGGAGTGTAACACAGCAGGTGCTGACTGTTGATTAGAATAATGTTTAGTAATCAGATGAGTTTACGATTATTTATTTATCATTATAGACCTCTTTGAAGTCTGTTTCTCTGCTCAAGTACCTGACGATGAACCTCAAGCAGTGTGTCATACTCAGACTTTAACTGGTCAAAGTCTGTCTGTAAGGTTTCCAGCTAAAACATGGAAAGATATCACATTAAATATTATAATCAATTACATATTATTTCACGCTTGATGTTTAAGAGTTACTCTTTTGGGTGTTTGATTAATTTAATGCATTCTTGCTGAACAGAATTATTCATTTAAAAAAAACTGACCCCAAACTTTTGAATCGTAGTGTAGTAGATAAATAAAAACAGAAAAAAATTAACAAAGTAATATAAAAGAAAAATATTTAATCCTACCATACATAAACTCAAAATATTTTGCATGGTAAACTGGTTGATTCATTATCTTGTACGTAAATTAAAAATAATACATCTATTTTTCTCCATACCTTTATTAAAGTCTCCTCATGCATATGATTCAGGTTATCCCAGTCTCGTCGTGGGACCACATCACTGTATTCGGCTTGGAGGCGGTTAAGCTCAACTTGGACTTTGGTAAGGTCCTCTCTACACACCTGCAAAGCCATTTTCACCACCACAGGATCCTCAGATTCATCCTCTGAGAGGAACAAGCAAAGTTTCTGTCTACCCTAGTGCTGTGCTTGGTTTATATATGTAGTGTGCTATAAAAAGATTGGAAATGTGCTTGATGTAACAACTGTCATCACTTAGGCCCTGCCCTTTTTACATTAGCCACAGAGAGACGCTGTAGCACAACCTCGGTGTTCAAAGCTTGAGCTCGTAATTCACCCTCCTTTGTCTGAAAAGCTACACCGAGATTCCAGTCCAGAGTTTCAGAATCCAGTGAGGGATCGATAGTCTTGAAGGCAGTCCTGAGGTGCTCTGCATCCACTTCCCTACATTGATGATATACAAAACAGGACAAAACTATGACAATACTATTATTGAAATCTAAAAAGGTTTAGTTAAATGTGGCTTTTACTTGGAAATTTTGTAAACAATGGACGGATGATGATCTCTCACCGTTTGCCTTCTAGTTGCATTCTCAGCTCGCTGATGTACTGGAGTCTCTCAGCAGTAGCTTGTTTTTTAACTAGACTCAGGAATTCTTTGTGTCTTCCATCTGTGTCCTGGAGTGAGAACAATGTGCACAAAACGTGATGTTCTAAAATATTTATATATGCAGTGCCATTTAAAAGTTAGGTTTTTTTTGTTTTGAAGAAATTAATACTTTTATTCAGCAAGGATGAATTAAATTGTTCAAAAGACACAGTAAAGACATTTATACATTTACAAAAGATTTATTTTTTAAATAAATTCTGGTCTTTAAACTTTACATTCAGCAAAAAATATAAAAATGTATCATGATTTCAAAAAAAAAATCATGTGATCACGTGACACTGAAGAATGAAGTAATGGCTGCTGAAAATTCATCTTTTCCATGAAAGGAACAAATTTTTTTTTTACATTTGTATAAATATTTATAGTTTTCAAATAGAAATAGTCATTTGAGATCATAATCATATTTCCAATATTATTGTTTTTAAATGTATATTCAAAAAAATAAATGCAGCTTTGGTGAACATAAGAGACTTTTCAAAAACATTTAAAATATCTCATCAAACCAAACTTTTAAATGGTAGTGTATGCATTCAACTTCAATTAGGTTATAGCCAAAAAATTCAAACTGACCTCTGTATAAAGTGTCTGATAAGCAATGCGCACTCCATTACTCTTCAGCTCTGTCTGAGCCACCGCCAACAGCTCCTCTATGTCTTGATCTTTCAGAGGGAAGGCCTTCTTCAATGCATCACTGAAAATTAGCACACATAATGTAATAATAAAAATAATCACAATACATTTTCAACTGAGGAATTCAGAGTTTTTGCTCACCTAAATTCTAAGACAGTTAGTGATCCGCATTGTGTTGTGTCACTTTGAATTAAAACCTTGAGCAAGTGAGACAGCAGCTGAGTCTGTCCATGGTAGATACTCTCATCAACCTGCCACAAAATTACAGTCAGCAACATTTAATATACATATATATTATATATCCCAATAAACATTTGATATTTTGGGGGGCAGCTGAAAAACCTGCTTTCATTGGACTTAATTGTTCACCAGTGCTATGGACATTTACACATGATTATTTTAGATTAAGCGCAAACCTTCCCAATCAAGATGTCATTAAAAAGGCAAATGAGATAATCTTCAAGATTGTTCTGAATGCTTTCCATCAAGCTGTAAGCCCACTCTCCTGCCTTATCCTTATAATGTTCCACAAGATAGCTGTGAAGAAACATCTGCAGATCTCTGGAGTCATCATTCTCCATTGAAGAAAAATGTGTGGAGAAATACAGCATTAAATACTCATAACTAGTGACTGTTTAAACAAATCAAGACAGGATATTGGTATGTCATACATACCTTTTCATTCTCTGAAGTTTTTTCCCTCCAGATGTCTTTAATAACTCTGACTACATCTGCTTTCTTGAGTTTAAGATTCTTAAGTTTCCCCTCATACTGTAGATAAATGGGGACGTCACTGGATGTGCCCTGTGAAAACAACTTTACTTCAGCCTAGCAAAGCTGGTGTAGCTCATTTATAGCCTATGTTTAGCATCTTGTTTTTAATTTATTATTATATGTAGGCTAAATAGATAAAAATCATAAACTTATTTCGTCAAAGAGATTCTTTTCTGCAATAATCCAAAAGCCAATGGAAAAATCCTATTGGGTTTTTATTGAGAGAACTAGGGTAATACTAACTTTCATGCTGGCCTAAAAATATGCATCACTGCAGTGCTCTATTGCTATTTTTGATGTTAAGAACACTTACAAGACCAGTGAAGAACTCATTTTGGCCATTCATCTGCTGCAGCAAGATCTCCAGCCTCTTTTGGCTGGATTGACCTTCAAAGAGCTCTTTACATCGCTCACTGCCTCCTAGTATGTCTACAACACACATTACACAAGATTATCTCAAACATAAGCTTAACTGCACTATATAAAGAACAGATATGACAGCCTGGACAGTTCAGATACTGTTACCTGAACATTGTTCCCAGTTTGGTCTGGGAGTTGTAACAATGTGTTTGTTATCAGAGCCATGTTGCAGCACAGACTGATTGGAGTGTAACACAGCAGGTGCTGACTGTTGATTAGAATAATGTTTAGTAATCAGATGAGTTTACGATTATTTATTTATCATTATAGTAAGATTCTTAAGTTTCCCCTCATACTGTAGATAAATGGGGACGTCACTGGATGTGCCCTGTGAAAACAACTTTACTTCAGCCTAGCAAAGCTGGTGTAGCTCATTTATAGCCTATGTTTAGCATCTTGTTTTTAATTTATTATTATATGTAGGCTAAATAGATAAAAATCATAAACTTATTTCGTCAAAGAGATTCTTTTCTGCAATAATCCAAAAGCCAATGGAAAAATCCTATTGGGTTTTTATTGAGAGAACTAGGGTAATACTAACTTTCATGCTGGCCTAAAAATATGCATCACTGCAGTGCTCTATTGCTATTTTTGATGTTAAGAACACTTACAAGACCAGTGAAGAACTCATTTTGGCCATTCATCTGCTGCAGCAAGATCTCCAGCCTCTTTTGGCTGGATTGACCTTCAAAGAGCTCTTTACATCGCTCACTGCCTCCTAGTATGTCTACAACACACATTACACAAGATTATCTCAAACATAAGCTTAACTGCACTATATAAAGAACAGATATGACAGCCTGGACAGTTCAGATACTGTTACCTGAACATTGTTCCCAGTTTGGTCTGGGAGTTGTAACAATGTGTTTGTTATCAGAGCCATGTTGCAGCACAGACTGATTGGAGTGTAACACAGCAGGTGCTGACTGTTGATTAGAATAATGTTTAGTAATCAGATGAGTTTACGATTATTTATTTATCATTATAGACCTCTTTGAAGTCTGTTTCTCTGCACAAGTACCTGACGATGAACCTCAAGCAGTGTGTCATACTCAGACTTTAACTGGTCAAAGTCTGTCTGTAAGGTTTCCAGCTAAAACATGGAAAGATATCACATTAAATATTATAATCAATTACATATTATTTCACGCTTGATGTTTAAGAGTTACTCTTTTGGGTGTTTGATTAATTTAATGCATTCTTGCTGAACAGAATTATTCATTTTAAAAAAACTGACCCCAAACTTTTGAATCGTAGTGTAGTAGATAAATAAAAACAGAAAAAAATTAACAAAGTAATATAAAAGAAAAATATTTAATCCTACCATACATAAACTCAAAATATTTTGCATGGTAAACTGGTTGATTCATTATCTTGTACGTAAATTAAAAATAATACATCTATTTTTCTCCATACCTTTATTAAAGTCTCCTCATGCATATGATTCAGGTTATCCCAGTCTCGTCGTGGGACCACATCACTGTATTCGGCTTGGAGGCGGTTAAGCTCAACTTGGACTTTGGTAAGGTCCTCTCTACACACCTGCAAAGCCATTTTCACCACCACAGGATCCTCAGATTCATCCTCTGAGAGGAACAAGCAAAGTTTCTGTCAAATCACCTCCTCACTCAACCTCCGTCTGACTACTGCAACTCACTCCTGGCAATCAAACCTCTGTAAAAAAAAAAAAAAGCTCCAGCCTGGCTAATATTCCTCATCTTCAAAAAAAAATTTAAATCCTGCCTGGCTGTATTTAACGACTTTTGATGAGGTCCACACTGATTCCTTTGCTCCGTCCAGTCATCATCAGCAGAAAAAACCCTCTCTATGAATGCTTTGGTTGTTATTTTCCCCACACTAGCTATAACATGACTGCTGCACTAATGGATTTTTAAATGGCAATCACATTTTTTGAAATTATATTTCTTATTGTGGTATTGTAATTTCAGGTAAAAAAAAAAATAATACACACAAAATTGAAATGCAGGACACTGCTTACGTTTTGCAGGAAGAGTGACAAAGCTCTCAAATTTTAAGACAGGTGGTCACCCTACCACTGGCTCCTTGTTCTCATACACTAAATTCCAGCAGTAAAAATGTTTGTTTCCATGTTTGTTTATTTTTTTCAGACTCAACTACTAATCGTCATTCGTGTAACCTTCATTATAACCTTCATTATTATCATCATGTTCAGTGTCTTGGGTAGAGGTCATTGTGCTGATTCTGGTGATGAGCAGTTTTCGTGCATCACGTTCATCCCTGTATAGCTGATATTGGGTGGCCAGATCCTCTTTTAGGTGATCAACCTGTGGGAGAGATACACATGAGTTTGTGTTTCATTATATATTTACTATTGTCATATATGCTTTATGGAAGCAGCAGTGTTGTGATTGTTAACTGCAACTAAAATTAAAATATTAACAACTGTTTTCAGCAACTGAAATAAAGCTTAAAGAGATAGTTCACCCCAAAATGAAAATTCTGTCATTAATTACTCACCCTCATGTTGTTCCAAACCCGTAAGACCTCTGTTCATCTTCGGAACACAAATTAAGATATTTTTGATGGAATCTGAGAGCTCTCTGACCCTCCCATAGACAGCAAGGATCCTTACACGATCAAGGCCCAGAAACATAGCTAGGAGATCTGTAAAATAATCCATGTGACATCAGGGGTTCAACTGTAATTTTTACAAAGCTACGAGAATACTTTTTGTGCGCAAAAAAAAATAAAAAATAAAAACTAGTATTGTAAAATTACGGTTGAACCCCTGATGTCACATGGATTATTTTACAGATCTCCTTGCTATGTTTCTGGACCTTGATCATGTAAGGATCCTTGCTGTCTATGGGAGGGTCAGAGTCAGAGAGCTCTCAGATTCCTTCAAAAATATCTTAACTTGTGTTCCAAAGATGAACGGAGGTCTTACGGGTTTGGAACGACATGAGGGTGACTAATTAATGACAGAATTTTCATTTTTGGGTGAACTATCCCTTTAAATAAAGTACAAAAAATCTTATATAAAACCTTAGATTTAAAAAAAAAAACTTTTTTTATTTATTAGATAAAAAAAACATAAATTAACTAAAGTTTAAGTTTAAGTACTAAAATTACTAAAACTTAAATAAAAATAAAGATAAATAAAAAACACTAAAACTATATTAAACTAATTTAAATTACAATAGCACATAACAACAATTACTAAAAATGAACCTAACTAAAAATAAAAAAACAAAATTAAAGTATAACAATAAAATCTAATTCAACAACACTAGGAATCTTTCTAGTTTCACTCTCCTCCTCTATTAAATTTGTATGTGAATGACCTGCACCACTTGAGATGTAAATCAATGACCCATCGTTTGGCCCTGACAAGCATCTGCCGTAAACATTTCAATTAATTTCAAATTCAAACTGCGTTCAAATGTTAATAAGATAATATGCCACATAATATGCTGAGAGAAACCACAACATAATATGATTAATTTCTCATAGAGAATGGGATCATATGATTCCATATAAAAAGCTTTCCCATATTGTAGCCTATTGAGAGGTCATGCTTGTCATTAACCGATATACTGTACATTTCATTCAAATACTGACAAAACATCCTTTAACCACTTAGAATAGTGAATAATCCAAGGTAGCCAGATCTCTACAAAAGGACAGACATAATAAATGAACTGCACCTGAATCTGCAGAGCAGTCTGTTGTCCTCTCATACTCTCGATGACACAGTGCAGACGCTGACACTCTCGCTTCAGAGCTCGGAGCTCATCTCTTTCCTGTACTCTCTGATCCAGAATCCTCTTCTCACACTGTTCCGACACAAGCACCAGCTTTGCCCGCAGCGGTAGCAGATCCCTGATCTGTTCACGAAGATGTGCTGGGAGAGACATTAACACTTTGATTAGTGACATCTCATCTATTATTTTCCTCATGACTTACTATTGACCAATTGAGTTCCATTAGCATTTTATTTGACATGATATTAAACAACTTAGTTAGCTACAGTTCATTTTAAGTGCTTTGCATTACTACACATTTTTGTTTAATACAATACTGATATAATTAGTAACATAAAACTAGAAATGGTGGTAGCCTGCTAGCACAAAGATTTTACCCCCCAAAAAATAACTAAAAAGATTGCACATACCTAATGTGACGTCATACTCATTTTTGATGGCAGAGAAAATAGGCTTATAGGTTTTAAATTCTTCAATTAAATATCCAAACACCTCCTGGAAAACCTTTATAAGGCAGGGAAAAAGCAAGAAAATAGTTTCTTAAATACTAGTATTGAAAAACACTTATATATCATATATATCATTATAGACACACATTTTTATTTTGTTTTTGTGGATTGTTTGGACAGAGTCAAACTACATCCCTTTACTTGAAAGTAAGAAAGTAAGATGCAGTGTAATATATGTAGTGTGCTGTGTATACTAACGTTCTAAAGTTTTTTGGGGGGGTTTAGAGAAACTTACACTTTATTCAGAAAGGATGCATTTAATCAATCCAAAATAACAGTAAAGGCTTTCTTTAAGAATTATTTTTAAGAATTGTATTTCAAATAAATGCTGTTCTTTTAAATCCTAAAAAAAATGTATCAGAGGTTTCCACAAAAATCATTTTAAACATTGATAATAATAAGAAATATATTTTTAGCAGCGAATCAGCATAAGAATGATTTCTGAAGGATTATGTGACATTTTGTAAAGATCATGTGAACATTACATTTTAAAATATATTAAAATTTTAAAGTTTTTTTTTATTGCAATATTTATGCTTTTTTTGTTGGTTTGTTTTATCAAATAAATGCAAATCAAATAAAAGAGATCTTTCAAAAACATAAAAAATCTTACAGACTTCAAACTTGTGAACTGTAATGTATGCTAAAGAGTAAGAGACCATTACAAAGTGGGATATAAACCTGCAGTCTGAGCTCTTGGACTTTGATGCCATGTGTGTCTAAAGCTTCTAATTCTCTCTTCAGATGAGACTCCAGTTGCTCTAAGAAACGAGGCTTGGTAAGAGATCTGCAGCACATCATATATGCAGACATTAGGACCAAAGTATGCAATGGACATGGAAAAGTGTAAACCAGGGTAAAGTTTTACAACTATTGCAATGCTAGAATGAACACTGAGATGCTATGTGTTGTACATGCCATACCCATGATGTTTTATTCCTCCGGGCTTTTGGACAATTTGATTGGTAACTTCAGCAGGCCAGGATGAAAGGGTACCAGAGGTTTCCCCCGCGTTGGTCTGAAGGAAATTAAAGTTGATTTGGCATTATTTGGCATGTGATGGTGGCGTCAAACACTACAAAATAAATCTCTTTTCATAGAACTGATCAAACAAATGAGCAGAGTATTTAAGTATATGCTGCTAAATTAAAGTCACACTTTATTTACTTATACATGTACTTTTTAAAATTAAGTTTAACCAGCTAACAGTATAGATCTATCCGTAAATCAGGTAACGTTATCAGATATTTCAAATACTATCAAATATGAATTTCTATAATTAAATCAGCAGGTTTATAACTTACTTTTATAAACTTTGACCTAGATATCCCGTTAGTAATGTGTCGCTGTGATCCTCTGCTAACGGAAAGACTTGGGAACAAACAGTGAACTTGGGTCAAACTGTGACAGCAGACACTTCATCCAAATTATTATGTTTTTATTATTATTTTTCAAATATGTTAACAGTTGTCACACTGCAGGCCTATTAACTCAACATTAGAAAATAATAAAGAAATAGCAATTATTGACATACGTTTACTTTAAATATATCTTGATATAAAAACATTTTATTTGTCAGTTACACATTGACTAGCAGTGTTCTAACGTTACTTAACTAAGTTACTACTGACTTCCGCTGGCTTTTTTGGATTAGGCAGTCATTTCTAGTTAGTGTATAAGCAACATTAACGATTCTAAAATTGTCCTTATATCTTGCCTTTCATAGTGTAACAACGGTGGCAGCTGTAGTTCTTTCAGCGACATTTGGACGAATAAACAGCTTGATGATAATCCACAGCAAATGTATCAGCGAACGTCCAACTGAAGCTTCAGCAGCGTGGCATTGTTGTTGTTTGAGAGGTGGTTGCTATGATACCGATGAACCCTAGAAAAGACCTTCCGTTTATAGGCGCCCACCGTGTGCCTGTATGAACAATAACGTGACTTGTCGTCTAAAACATTATACGTGTCGCATTAAATTCGCTTGTATGTGTTAATGTATAAATACGCTATTTGGTAAATATTTAAAATCAGTACAATTTAGATTCAGTTATTAAAGTAAACTACTGCTTCACAGACCAACAGTTTAGGATAAGGACTACATGAAGTCTGTTACATAAAAAGCTGAAATACATGCCTTATAATATAGCAAGCATGTAGTGAAATTGATTTCCATCATCACGCATTTGAATAAATTACAGCCACTGATTCGAGATGTAAAATACACGGTTTACTTTCAATCTAAGTTAAATCAAGTATATTCATGCTCAGACTACAGAATTAGGAGTTGTGTTAAAAACTACAAATCCTAGACTGCGTGTTACAGCCCGCTCCTCTCCCAATTGAATTCGGTATGGGTCATGTAGTTGATGGCACTTCCCTCATGTCAGCAGTGTGCACTGCGCAGGGCTTTGTGTTCAACTACAGTACCCACACGTCACTGTAGAGCCGCTGTTATCCGGGATATCTCACCGCTGCTGTTTCTCTCCTTAGTCTAGCGCTCTCTCCTTTTTAGCGGACTGGTACAACAGGGTAGGATTACTAGAAGGAATACAAAAACATAAGCAAAAATGGCAGAGCTTGGAGCGGGGAGCCTGCTAACAGGAGATCCTGCTTTTAATTATCAAGAGCATGAGCTAAACGAGCGTTTGAAGCGGCTGTACCCGGCCGTGAATGAGGAAGAGACCCCCTTACCCCGATCTTGGAGCCCCAAGGATAAGTACAGCTACATCGGGCTCTCACAGAATAATCTGCGGGTGCATTACAAAGGTATACAGATGTGACACACGCTGAACTGTCAACCCATAGGCCTTGACAATCCCGGCTGGTTTCGTTGCGCTCGAATATGTGCAATCTCCCCGATCTAGTTTGAGCTGCTTTTTTCCCGTCCCTTTTGCTTTGTTGCATAGAAGGAAAGAGGAATGTCCAAATGGGTTGACATTTAGCAAAACATCATGTCAGAATTCGGCTAGCGAGAGTAGCTTGGGGCATAAGCACGGCTGGGGAGTCTAGCTTTCGGACACCTACCTTTTACCTATTGCCATGGCAAGAACATCAAGTGTTATTGATTTGCCAAGCTTATGGTTTGAACTCCCTTTCGGTGAATTAGTCAAGGCTGGTGCTAGCTAGCCACGGCAAGGCAATAAGGGCAGCTAAGCAGCTACACCATTGCAATGAATTGCAAATGCTTGTTAATTTACTCCGCATTGCATAAGTGTGTTTTGTTATCCGCTATCGGATGATTTATGTAAGGACGCGCGCCGCATCACAACGAAACAAATCGCTGAAAATGTTTTTAGTGCGTATTTGAGGTATTTGACGCACGAACATGTGCGTATTTGAGTTGACGAACGATATCGAATGATTCGAATCTGAGCGAATCGCCGAATTCGCCATAATAATGAATTCGAATTCCACAACACTAGCTGTTTAAACAGTTGTGGCCTTTCGAATGACCCAGTCGCCTCAGGGGGGGGGTCTGTGAATTTACCAATTGCAGATGTACTTTTTTTGTTTAACAACTATTTACATGCTTCTACAGAATACATAATAAAGCAGTTTTTTTTAAAGAACTATGACTAAGCACAATTTATAAGCTTTTAGTGCATATGTTTGAAAAAATATTCTTTCAGGCGAACTAGTAGGCTTGTCTGTTTTTAATTTTATTAGTACTTATTTTTTCATTACAACGGAGTAATTATTTCACTGGACATACATTAGACTAGTCATCATTCCAGTATTGACCTGTATCTGTTTAATTAGTCTAGTACTTGTATATTATTTACAATAACGTATTGCCACTAGTCACTTCTGTTCCAGTAGTGCCAAATAACTTAGGCCTATATCGTTCCTGGTAACAAGTTACACATTTTTGCCATTGAATTCTATGGAAATCTGAGGTTCACATATCAACTATTCATTCGTACTAATATGTATTGTAATTGTTGCTGGTGTCTAATAATTCATTAAGTGCTATTACTTACTCTTTAGTTAGTTTGAACAATATAGTTGCTAGTATACATTCTAGTTTTCTGAGTGCGAACTGAATAGATGTTAATTTGCATTTACTAAACACAACAAGTGTACAATTAAGCCTACTTGTATGATATTTAATTGAAGTAGCTTTCTTGACTAGCCATTAAAACTAAATTAGTGATATTCCATGTCATAATAACAAAGAGCTCTTTTGTTGTAGCATCTACGTGAATGATTAGGCTTGTAAAAAGACTTTATTGTGTTGTCTGAAATGTTACTGACATGTACCCTGGTTATTTTTAGTTTAGGCACAAATGCTGTTATAAAGAGCCTAATTCTAATTTGATGATGTGTGTCTGTAGGCCTGTTGTGCAATACTTTAGGATTGTTACCATTTGAGGGTCACTGGTGTGTAGACTATAGCCATTCATCTTCTTACATGTTGTGTGTTCCGTTTGACAGCTGTTTGTGTCAATGCTCAGGCCCAGTGGGAAGGTTATCCTTCTAGTTTAGTTCATCCCCTTTGACACATCAATGAACAACGCTGCATTATTTTGGTAATGTACACTGCTTTGTGTCTATGGAAAATTGTACCTCAATGGCAACTATCTCCTTTTAGGCTATGGGTTTGTTTACCACTTCACATGGTGGCGGATGTTAGCCAAGAATTTGATTTTTAAGAGTCAGATGATATTGATATACTCATATTGATTTCTTTCCTTGTTGTTAAGGATCTTTGTTTCTTTTTGTTCTGTCAGTCTGACTGTTTTGGTCAGTTTATCCTCAAAGCAGGATTGCAGTGATTAGATTAGGATCAAACAAAGGCTTGTTACTATAATCTAGAGTCATTATATACATCTTGTAGTAGTATATTTAAAGCAGCTCCAGTTAATAAATGATTTAACCTGCAGTCTATTAACCTTCAGTGCTATTTTGGCCAGTGTACCAGATACTGTTTCTGTGGACTGAATTTTAGGTAACACCATGTTTCTGTCAAGTAAAGACACTAGATATATGCTGTCAAACAGTGTGATGAAAATCTGTGCAATGTTTATGTCATGTTATATTGTATTAACCCACATTGCTCTCCATCTTGATTTAGGAAGCATGTAAAAAATAGTCAAGCCTTTGCATGATGAAACAAGGGGAAAAGACACCAGAGGCTCATTTTCTAGCTTTGTTGTGGACCTCATTTTACTTATCGTCGCACTGACAAGGACGTGAGCCCGTTAATGGAGAGAGGAAATGTGACTTTTGCAGCACTACACCCATGCAGATATTGTTTCTACACCACCTCCTGTGAGAAGATTAATGATAAAGATAAATCTCATCATGATGATATTTAACAATTGTAAGTAAAGGAAATTAGAATCAGCTTGACGTATTTTGACATTATTTTCATGACAATTAAAGTCGCGATAAAAAGGATGTAGCAATAGATCTTTTTCCATATTTTAAAGTACATCCGAGTGAAATGGATTTTCGAAAGCGAAAAAGAAGAAATGTATTGTTGGGACTTGGTTGTATCCATTGGTTGTTGTGGAGCCAGATCAGTTTAATGAGCGTGTAGTCGTTTGTAAGAAAGAGGCGGGGATTAAGCGGACTAAATGATTGGAGAAGTTCAGCATTCGTCACAGGAGAGAAGTCTGTTTCTTTCACTGGAAGGTTGAGTTGTAATTAGGGTTGTGCAGGTTAGTGTAACAATTGCTCCGCAGCGGTTTTAGAGCACCACCACAGTGGGCCGGCAAAACACTTTTTTGCGCATATTAATGTGTACACTTTTTTAAGTAAATAGGAAGTACAAAACTTTGTTTACAAAATAAATAATCTGCTGCCAAATTTTACCTCATGACCATGGAAACATAAAAAATTCTGCTCTGTTTTGCTGGCTGGTCACTCAGATTGTTACAGAAAGCAATACACAAATTAGACATTACTGGTCACCAGTGTTGGGGGTAACGCATTACAAGTAACGCGAGTTACGTAATCAGATTACTTTTTTCAAGTAACTAGTAAAGTAACGCATTACTTTTTAATTTACAAGAGAATATCTGAGTTACTTTTTCAGATAAGTAAAGCAAGTTACTTTTTTTCCCCCCAGTTTATTGATTGACAGCTCTCCTGTTCCCATGTTGAGAGAAATCAGAAGATGTCACTGTAGTTCTAAAATAAATAAGAATATGCATTAATTCATCTCACTCACAAAAAAAAACAAAACGTGATTAGTTAATTTTTTATGGAGTAACGCAATATTGTAATGCATTACTTTTAAAAGTAACTTTCCCCAACACTGCTGGTCACATTAGGGGTGTCACGATAAATCGATCTCTGGAATCGATTCTGAGCTTAGTTTTTAACAGCAGATGGCACTCTAGGCTAGTTTTTAACCGCACATTCAAATGTTCACAAAGAACAGCGCTTGTGCGTTCAACTGAGTAATTAAATGTACTTGCACCTCGGCTTTTATGACGCGAGATTCATGTAAACAAAGGCCACTGTAAACATTCTTGTAATTCGCTTCAACCTTTTCGACTTTATGAAGGATTTTTTGAAGTTCAAATGGTGTGTGCGTAAGGAACTGGACGCAAGCAGAGTATGGCTGTTTCTAAAGCACACATTGCCATCAGCTGTTAAAAACTAAGAATCAGAATGGATTCAAGAGAGAATCGCAATGTTTTCGGAAAATCACAGAATCGATCCACGAATCGATTTATCGTGTCAGCCCTATTTTAAACAAAATATTTTATCTTATGGGTTTCAGTCTTTGGGCTAGATTTACTAACAGCGCAAACTGTCTTTTGGCGTTCAAATAGTACTGTCAGGATTAACTAAAGACACGCAGTGAAGAATTAGCCCTGAAAAGGCATGGACACAGTTACTTTTGTGACTCACCTTATTGAATATGCATTTGTAGGAGTTTCCCTTTCAATCTGTAAATTTATGGGAGGAGAGAATATAAATGAATCACGCAATGCAATTTACTAACGCTTGCGCTCGTCAAATTACTGGTATTTGTGCCATTATTTTACGCCCCCAAAAAAGCATGTCTTAAAGTATGTGCTAATTTGTGCTGCTCTTGGTGGATTGCACTGGTCATTATGGAAATGAGATGTTGCGTCTGTGTTCTTTAATGTGCACCTTGTCAGTAAATCACCTGCAAAATTTTCCCCTCCCATCGGCTCTTAATGGAATTGCACTCTAATTTGCGCTAATTTGCCCTGATGTCTCTCGACTAGTAGTCGACCAATATGTGTTTTTCAGGGCCGATACAGATTATTACAGATTAAGTAGACCGATAACCAATATTTTGAACCAATATATATGTCTGGTGTAAAAAAGAAAATTAATTTCAAAATTAAAAATAACAAGGGCCATGACAAAAACGTTCTTTAAATGCTTTTAAATTGAAAATGACCGATACCGATAACCATAAAAATGCTTAATATCGGTGCCGATAATCGGTCGACCCCTACGCTCGACATATACAATATTGTCACAGTTTGTGCTTGTTAGACAAGGTAATGTCAAGTTAATATGTACGGAGCCCTGGACATGACATGTGGGGGGAAAATTAAAGATATTGTGGCCACAAATAAAAAATTTGTTCCCATGTAAAAAGTGTCCATTGCTTTGGAATATTGTTAGAAAACATGAAGATCTCAGACAAGAGGTGGGCTCTGTCCTATTCACACAACCCTCTCAAAGCGCAGAGCAGGATATATGATGTTACCTAAAATTCAGTCTACAGAAACAGAACACTGTACATTGTACACTGGCTAAAAAAGCACAGAAGGTTAATAGACTGCAGGTTAAATCAAACATATCTTTTTGGGGAAACACAATTAAACTTAACTTAGATACTACATTTTCTATTGCTTTCCATGTAGAGGGATAAGGGCTGTATTGTTCCATTTTAATGCCCTTTTAAAGTTTGAAATTATAGTAAATCTAATTAAAATCACAGTTTATACATTGTGAATACATTGAATGTATATAGGATGCTGGAGGGGCGTGAAACATGACCTAGATATTTTTTGACAGTCAGTCACTGACAACTATCAAAATCATTCTATATTATGTTTGTTTCTTGTTTTGAATTCAAAATTTAAATAAGCCTATGTGATTTTTCTTAACCAGTTTAAAAACATTTACCTGAAAAAAGAACACTGTTTAAAGCACTTGCGTGACCGCACATGTCGTTGGGTTATTAAGTATAATGAGTGTAAGATTGTGCATGTAAACACTCACAGATTTTTATGAGATTCACTCTTGTCAAGACTGAAAATTATATAGTTGGTTATGTGTCCTAAAGGGATTATTGGCTCTCCCTTTACAAAATGAGAAAAATGAGGCATGTAAATAAAATATAATAAAATTATATGTCCTACACTGGATTAGAGCAGCGCTGTAAGATGCAGCAGACCTATGATTATGCACTGCAGAGGAGGACTTTGTATGAAAGCCATTTGTGTTTAAACATGTTTGGCAGAGAAATAGAGGGAGGGACAGACAGACAAGCAACTAAAGAAGGAGAGAATCACCCAGGGTCCTCTTGCTGTTCTGTGCTCCTAGAATGGTGTGGTCATGGCATGATGTATAAATAGATTGAGTGTGTGAGCAAGGGGCGGAGAGGAGCGTGCACATGTATGTGTGTTTATAGTGTGTGTGTGTGTGTGTGTGTGTGTCAGAGAGTTGGGGATTTGCACATACAGGGTCGTCTGCCTTTACTCTGGTTGTATGAGCCATGGATATAAATATATTTTGTGTGTGTTCTTGATTATGAATGCTTGTCTGGGTTTGAAAGTTTGGCAGACAAACCTATTGTGACTTCCTAGCAGAACTTTGAAAGCTAAAAATAAGTGATTATTATTATTACAGTAATCAGAGATGATGATAATGAAGAATACATATGCTTGGTACACCTTTTTTTTTCCAAAACACATACACTGTGACCAGATCCTGCAGTTAAACTTCAGGTGAGGGTTATGTTACAGTTCTGGGGCACACAAACACAAAGATACACCGAAATGTCCATATACGTGCACACGGATGAGTTAAACATGAGACTCGGGAAGTGCAGTGAAGTTGAATGAATGATTGGCTCAGGAGAAAGGCCTGGCCTCGCAGAATCTAATACTGTGTGTCCATTTATGCTGCCAGGTGTTACAATCTGCAGGAAACTGGATTAGGAGATTGGAGCACATTGCTATGGTACATGGAGGCTTAGATGACAATGACACTCACCAACTTCCTTTCTCACACTTGTATTGAGAAGAATTGAAGCTATAGCATGTATTAGAGGTTAACCTTAAAGACAACATTAAATGGAGTTCAATTTCAGTTTGACTTGTTGAGTGAAGCGGTATGAGAATTTATTCAACCATAAGGTAGGCTATAATCGTGAAAGTGGGTTTGCCAGATGGACCTTTGCATTTGAAGGGGCGGAGCTAAACAAAGGGCTTGATGATATCAGCAGAGGACGAAAGTCGTTTTAGAAGATGTTAAATAGGGTTGGGTATCGTTTGGGTTTTTTTCGATACTGGTGCCAAATCGATACTTTTAAAACGGTTCCGGTGCCTACATGGTACCTAAACCGATACTTATTAAAAAATAAATAAATAAATAAAAATTCCCCCAAAAATTATGGATTGGCCATTAGCATTATAAACACATGATTTCTGTTTCATTCATACTGGATGCCAGAGGGCGCCCTCACACATAAATCGACATATCCAGTCATAGAAGTAGCGGAACTCATGACCCTCCAGGAAATCCCTAATATTGACAAAGGCATCGCTATTATAGCTTTAACTGAGTAAACAGAACATATAAACGTTTT